CAAAATTATAAAACTATATTATCTGGTCTTAAAAAGGTCACCTTATTAAAATTATGTGACAACAAAGGCCAAGCAGTGTAAAATTAACATAAAATCATAATTCGTAGAATCAATACAAATATTTCAGTTATATAGTAGCTTTTCCCTTTTATGTAAAATACAAATAACTAGTAGTCACAGTTAGTTGTCTTTACTCAAGGTACTGTTAAGAATAATAACGGCATTCTTATTCTTTTTAATCTCAATGATGTGCGAACACGCCTCATGCAGAACACGCTACATCATCAAAAACTATTTTTTTTTTAAAGTATTCTTCAATCCTAACAAAAGGGTTATTAGTTTTAGATACTTAGTGTCAATGAAATCCTTCAAAAATATATCAACGCCCGCATATGGAGGCCGAATATTAACGTCTTCCGCTAACGGAAAAAGTATGTAACAAAATCAGTGATATGAATGTCACGATCAATTGATTTAACTTCCTCTTGAAAGTTATTAAATATTTAAATCACGTAAGATACATTTAAAGCAGGAATGATCCACGCATCTAGATCAGGTGAATTAAGGCAAGAAATATTCAAGGTCGAAAAGGTGTCTTATCGTAACAATCAAAGCAGGTGATGTCTGTTCTCGGAATATCAACAAATTCTCTCCGGTAATTTATTCGAATAATTAAGCGAGGTAGTTAAGTTTAAGAAATTATATGTGTCATGAATTACAGTAGAAATATGTATGGCTCCTTAAATATTAATTTGTAAATTTTGGAAAAAAATAATGTATCGTTTCTCCAAAATAGGTTCAAGCTCACATATTAAGCTCCAAAAATAGGTTAAATTTCGGTGTCTTGGTTAAAAAAACTTGCATGGTAATCGATTTGATGTAAATTTTTTTTAATATTTAATGTTCGGGTAATATATAAAAATAGAAAAAATCCTCTGTGAATTTGAACTTGAGCCGCTACATGATTCTCTTTTGCTCTACAAGTTCTCCTGTCTTCCGAGTTATGCAGAAAATTACACCCGTTATGATGAAAATGTTATTGCTTTAAAACTTTTATTTAGATAAACTATTTATCGAACGGATAAAGTTGAATATGATAAAAAATGTAGATACTTAAATTTTAATAATATGCGGCTTCTAAACCTTATTTTCTAAATAATCGTTTAATAAAAAAATATATCTTTTATTTTCTTAAAAAAATAAATGCGAAATTAGTTTTTAAATTTAAGAATAACATTTTGAACAATAAATATGAATTAATATTTTTATTATTTTTAAGAAATAATAGTCATGTCTAGTTTTCTATTAAATGTCTAGTTTTCTATTAATTTTTGTTTTCATTAATTTTGTTCTCACTAATTGGCTGAAATGCTCTATTTTGATACTTTGTTGTTCAAGAGATATTGATAAGTGTGTCCAATGAAACACTATCTGAGAAATTTGATGCTATCTCTGTTTTAAAATGCCTGTTCAGTGTATTATTAAAACTAGGGAGCACCACATGTTCGCTGCCGCTCGATAACACCCAAGGTTTGCTTTACGCTCGCCCGTGTTTCTTAAAAAGCTGAAGTTATTCACTTGAAGTTCATTCTTCAGCTTATAATTATTTTTCGAAATATTTCAGTAAAAATAAAGCAATTTCGTTGCTTCATATGAAAATATATATATTTCTTGTTTCTCAACTTTTAAACGATCACAAAACAAAATGTTTAAGCATATTTAAAAATGTTATTCAACTAGATTAAAGAGCTTTAGCGCTCTAATACAAATCAAATGTAAGTCAGTAGCAAAGAAAATTTTTTAATTCAGAATTTGTTTTAGTACATAAGTATTTATAAAATATTGAAGTAATAGTGAGTATTTATTTTAAAGTTCTTTTTTTTTTGTAACAAAGTACTAAGTTTTTATTTTTGGCAAATTTATTAATTAATTCAAAACATGGTATCCAATACTAGGTAAGTTCAAATATAAGAATGCAAACATAAGATAAAGAAGAAACTTGAACTCGTTCACTTCTTTTTAGTGCAGCTTTTTTAAAAAAAATTAGGTTTTACGTTATTTTGGAGAGAAATAAAATTTTTCCATTCATATACGCTTGATTGGATAATAGGAATTTCGAATGCGTAAATTTAATTTTGTGAACAAGGTGTGACTGTGAGTTTAGTAAATATAAAAGAAGAGAACATTTTTGTCCAACGAATAAGTGATTCGGTGCAAATTTTTGATTGAAGCGAATTGATGAAACATATTTCGCGAATTAAGGATCATGTATAATATTTCTTTTGCTATCAGCTTGATCGGATGATAGCAATTTCGAATGTATAATTTAAATTTTTAAAAAGTGGTGTGGCGGAGAGTTTAGTAGATATAAAAGAGGAGAAAATATTTGTCTCACGAATAAAGGATTCGATGTTAATATCTGATCGAAGTAAGTTGAAGAATTTCTTGAATTAAGGATAAAATAATATTTCTATTCTCATCCAATTGATCTGATGAAAGCAATTTCCAACGTGTGATTTTGATATTTTAAAAGTGGTGTGACGTAGAGTTTAGTAAATATAAAAGAAGAGAAAATATTTGTCTCACGAATAAATGATTTGATGTAAATATCTGATTGAAGTAAATTGAAGAATTTCGTGAATTAAGGATAAGATAATGTTTCTATTCTCACCCAAATGATCTGATGAAAGCAATTTCGAACGTGTGATTTTGATATTTTAAAAGTGGTGTGAGGATGAGTTTAGTAAATATAAAAAGAGAGTAAATTTTTGGTCTAAGGAATAAATGGTTCACTGAAAACTTTTGGTCGAAGTAAATTGAAGACACACATTTCGTGAATAAGGATTAGGGATGAAATTTCTATCCATGTGAGCTTGATTTGTCTAGGAGATGAATGATTCAATTAAAATTTTTAATAGAAGTAAATCAAAGAAACAAGATTTTGTGAATTGAGGATGAAGAATAATGATATTTGAATTCACATGTTATTTCATAAATAAAGCAAATGTTACATTTTATTATGAGGCAATGCACTGATAATTTTAAGACATTATTTATAATGTTTATTAAAATCACATAATCTTATACGTAACTGCGTAAACGTTTTAGGTAAATATTAAAATATTATAATCTAAAATAAATGGTGTGTGAATAGAATTATTATAATACCGATTTTTGGATTTGATAAAGCTAATTATCGTAATTAAAATGCTCTTTTTACTGAAAATTATGCTCTTGTGGTAGCATATTCGAAAAGAATGTTTTGGTAAAACCAAGAAATGAATTAAAAGAATATCTTGAGATAATGCAAAAAGCGCATTCTAACTGTTTGAGATCTATGTGTCAGAATTTTATTTTTCTATCTGATTAAGTTAGTCTTAAGGAAAATGTGCAATATGTTCATCTTGAAAAAAAAATTATGAATAAGATGTAACTACACAATGAGAAAATGTACAATGTAAAAAAGTATATTGGTATTTAAAGCATTACATACACTTAATTATAACAAAATAGAATTAATACTTAAACTATTTTAAGCTTAAGTACTAAATTCAAAATTCATTTAGAATTGGATTATTTTTCTTTGCAAAGAGTCAGAACTTAACATTCAGTGCACAAACATACTATGATTAGATGACTTAAAATATTATAATTTATCATTGTTACTGTTTCAAGAAAAAATTCGTTTTACAATTTAATTATTTGTGTTTTCCAATTTTATGAATTTAGCATGTTTCTTATTACCATAAATAATTTAATATTACAAGTTTTATACATTTTTATGAACTATCTCTGTTTCTGGGTAATTCATTTTTAAATAATTTTATTCGTTTGACCAAAGCAATAATCATAAAATTAAATATCGAAGTAATTCATTATTATTTTGTGTTGTCTTGGAAATACTTAATAAGTATCATAATTATGAGGCATCACACTTTCAGCATTGCAGAAAATAAATAAATAAAAATTATTGGAAAACTATCAGCATTTTTAAAATTTGTTATTTCAATTATTTATAAATAAATAAAAATAACTTTGTAATATAATTACTTAAAAACTTTAAATTTTATTTTTAATAATAATAAATATAATTAATTTTTATGATATGAGTTTTACTATTAAATTATTTTATAATTCATTAATCGAAATTGCTAAAGTTGTAAGTAATGCAAGGGCATAGAGAAGCAGAAGAAATTTTTCGAGGGGCGTGAATTATTTTAAATGCCATTTGGTAATCAAATCTATATTCCAACGCAGATGGTTACATATATTTTTTAAAGTTTTTGAAAACCTAATTTTTATTTGGGATGAAATTAAAGAGGGGTTTAGAAAATTGGAAAAATATATTGAAAGAACTTAAGTTCTTTTAAATCTCAAATCAAATCTATATTTGATCAAATCTACATTTTAAGTTCCAACATATTCTGTAAATTTTTTCTTTACTATCAATTATGTACCAACGAAATCATAAATTTTAAACATTTCTTTTTGAAAATGCCCCAAATGAAATGCTGATTTATTTATAGATAAGTTAAAAATATAGGGAAAAAAGATATTTGAAGGAGAAGAAAAAATTATAAAAAAAAATGTTTTTAAAAATTATTCACTAATTTAATAAGAAATTAAAATTTGTGGATATCTTTTTTCGGACATAATCATGTGTGCTGATGATGAGATTATATCTTTTCTTTATTTTATTTTACTTTCCAATTTTTTTAAAGTTTCAAAATTTTTTTAAAAATTTTAAATAATCTATAAAAACATTTTTTAATAATTTTCTCTCTCTCTTTCTCCCCCTCTCTCTCTCTCTCTCTCTCTCTCTCTCTCTCTCTCTCT